TTGCCCTCTGTGCGTCTCTTTTGCAAATAGGAATATATTATATTGGAAATACATTTTTGGTCTGAATATGTTTGGTCTAAAGATTGCAAATAAAATTGAGTGGTCAATAAGAAGAATCGTATAATGTCTGTTTGGATTAGTAAATTGAAGCAAATTTTGCAAACAAAGTTTAAATAAATATTAACTTTTAGATCAAATTGTGTTTATAAATTGAAAATTTAATAAAGACCAAAATAAATTTTGCTCAAACACTCAAATAAAGGTTGATTATAAATCTCATATAAATTTGTACATGCAAATTGGTAAAAAAAAAATCATACAAGTTCAAAGTTTTTACCCTCTTAAATTTTTATTTAAACTATAAATAATTTTTTATAACTGATTTTCTTCCAGGCAAATTTATTCATGTGAATCGAAAATTTTATTTATTTTATAATTTGCTTTAAAAACGGTACATGATTTTTTTTTTAATTTAAAATATTTTACTTGCCCAATGCACAGGGCAAGTGCCGTTTATGCAAATGAAATTTTCAACACCGAATAAAATAAATTACCACATAAGAGCACCACATCTTGCTCTTTCGTAATTCCGTGCGATAAAAAAAATGCAAAAGGCCAATACAGCTCTCTCTTCAGCGTCGCAATTCATGCTACTCCTTTTTGCCCGCTTATCGGTGCCGCTGATCTCAATATTTTTTATTCCAACTGCCTATTTATTCGCATCTGAGAAGTACTCGCGGCAATTTTTGTGATTGGTCGTAAAATATACTTGATAGGCCATTGCCAGCGTGTTTATCTCGATGCCAGTTTGGGGAGTCTCTGAGCTGTGATATCAGCTCTCTCGCTTTTGCAGCGCTGTGTGTGCCATTTAGCCCCGAGTGTAGTGTTTCGGCGGATGCATGTATACCCTGTATGTACACACTCTCGACCCTACACCACGCACTGCTGGTTGTACATGCTCATAGGAACACGTACCCTCTCTCGAGAAGCGTTGCGCTTCCTCATTTGACTGCCAAATGCGCGTCGGAGGGAAACGGCGAGATTGCTCCATTAGGCGTCTCGAATTTTGCTCTGATGCTCTTAAAGATTATTTTCAGTGTGTTTATATTAAGCTAAGAATCCTCACATATGAACTTCACAAATCTACGCGTCATTTTTCAGCCCTGATGGTGCTGATAAATTTGTTAATAAATTGTGTTAAACGCAGTCAAAGGATCAAACTGTTTGATCCAAGTTACTTGTTTACAATTGTGTTTTTAAATGTTAATATTATTTTCTAACCAAATTTAAGATTAGAAAAAACAATATAAATTAGCTCACCTAGATAATATTAAAAAATAAAAAGATTTTTTTTAATAAACGTGATTATTGTGAGAAAGTGAATTAAAATTTTAATTACATAATTATTTCTTTAAGTTATTAGATACATATTATTCATTCCTATAACACAATAATTCAAATAAATACTATTATAAAATTTATAAATTTATAAGGTCTTAAAAAATTTCTATTATTTTCTTATACATAACACTCCACAGAGAGAACTCGCACCGCACAGTATACTATATATTCTTAACCAGATTTTGTATTGTAAAATATAAAAAAATATTGACATAAAGTAAAAGAATTTTAATAAAGACAGGACAAGGAAATTGAAATTTTTGAATACCAAAAATTGGCTCAGTTTGTGTATATTTAATATTTTACTTTGGAATTCAGATGTAAATCAAATTGTAAACAAACATATCAATAAGGAACCCATATGATGTGAAAATAAAACAAGCTTTTAAGAGCTTAAACGGCCATCAGCCGAATGCTTCTTTTCGGCCATTGAAGGCGTCGGGAAACGGTTTGCGTACGAGGCGGTTGAGAGTTCATCAAATAAAAGTTAACACGGACATAAAAAATCAGTTTGGCAGCGGCTCTCCTTTTCCTTACACAAGAGAGCTGCAGCAGTGAGTGTGTTTTACTCGATTGCTTATTGGCTAATAATATTCAAGAGGGCTAGTCGGCCCAGCAAAACCTTTTATTTTGATAGGGGTTAAATAAAATAAGAGAGGAAGGTCAATTACGTGATCAAGTTGTTATCATTATCGTTGATACGCGCAGTAAAAATCATCCCGCGCGCACTAGACTGCTGCTCTCGCGCGCGCAAACCCCAATATGGCGGCATTTTTTGAATCGATCGCGCAGGGTAGGCCGTGGGGGAGAAAATGCAATTTCCTGCCGAGGTCCCTCAATGAAGGGGTGTAATGGCCGCTGGAAATTGCGTATCAATCCTCTGGCGGGCGCAGGCTTTTCCATTTCCTGCGAGCCGAGATGGAAAACTAACTTTCACTGCGCCCTTGTAAAAAATAACGGCCTCCGCTGGCGATTAATTATGTGGAGAACATCTCGGATTAGGTGGATGGCTCAGCCGGATGGGAATTGTGGCATCAGCATTTTTATGCCCGACTCATTCAAACTCAATTCAGACCCTGCCAGAGCTCGCTCGCAGCTTGAGACTAACGTCGCCCTCCTCCCTCTCGGCAAACTGCTCCTTAAGGGCAACACCCTTTTTGTGGAGTCGTCCAGGAACTTCAAAAAGCCCATTCGAGCCCATATCTTCTTGCATACTTCATCATGTGTATAGGGTTTCCCTGCTTTTCAAACAATGTGTAACAATGTTTACAGATAAAAAAATTATAAAATAAATCTACTTCCGAAAAATGTTTTTTTTTTTTAATTCATGGATAAGTAATGATGAGCATCATGGAAAGAAATCAAATTTAATTAATATATGCGTATGAATGAATAGATATCATCAATTGATTTTATGAATTACTACTTTCACAACATTTAAATAATACATCAGCAAGGCGCTATTATATCACCTTGGTTAAGAATGAAGTGTAGATATACTGCAATGTTTTATATATATTTATCAAATATTTATATATATGATCTTTGCTCTTAATACATAATGCAAAGTAATTAAAACAGTCATATCATATTGTATTAAATATTTCAGAGTTGTATTAAAAAATAAACAAAGAAATTAAATAAAATTCAAATTGAAATAAATATGTCAACATATAATTTATCAATCATAAAATATTGTTTAATTATTTACATTTAATTAACTGTAAACTCCTTATATCTTTATTTAATACGTTGTTGCTTACATTTCTTATGCAATTTTCGTTGAATTTTTTTTTTTAAACAATAACAATTATTTATGTCAAAGATAACTAACTCTTTATGCACTTTTCATCAAAATCATTTACGATTTACAATTAGATGAATAAACAATAATAATATACTTTCATTCTGAAAGGGGCACACAATTAAGAGATGAATTGAATTGAAATTGAGTTAATAATAACCTGCCATTTTTGTTTTACTATTTTGATGAGCTTCCTGTTTTGCGACAGACTGATTTATGTGTCAAAGCAGCCACTCGGAAAGCGTTTGAGCGAGTGTCGGGCAAATACGGCGAGACATTTGATGGACATGCGTTATGATTTTCAAGTGCCTCGTCGAACGAACGCCCTCCGCGAGCTCTTTATATATTGGCAGCGTGTAATAAAAACAAGCAATAAAAATTTATTCTCTCGCGCACGCCGCGCGGCTTTTATGGAGTGACTTCCTCATCATTTCGCGCTTCCTTTTTATTATTTGTAAAGAAATACTTGGAAGCATTAAGATTTTGTGAAAGGGTGTTATCTCTCATGCGGCATTCCTGGCATTCGCTAGCTGCTCTCTGGCCCTGTGTGTGCTTCGCCGCTCTTTCTCTCCGCTAAATGGAGTGGAACTGAATAAAAGAAAACGTCGCCGATGTCTCCACAGTCAATAGACCGGCAGCATTTCCATGATATCGCGATTTCCACTGCCAGATAAAAAGAGCTGAAAAAAGAAAAGCTACCGCGTATATATTCCCTTCGCGCAGCCTGGATTTGCGCTTTTTTCTCTTTCTCCACTCTGGGAAGCCATCCTATGCCTCGTTTCGCGTTTCGTGCACACGTTTTACGAGCTGCACTTCATGGCGAGACATGAAAGATACTCGTGCAAGCGTTTTTTACTTGGCAGCAAGGAACATGTTTGAATTTTGAGCAAATATTTAATTCTTTAGAGTTAAATGACGTTTTTTGATCAATACTTAATACAGTTTTTAAACCCTTCATCCCCTCTAGTTTTAAGTCAAGTTTTCCTAATTTGGATAAGTGCTTCAATAATTGAAATATAGTAATCTGCAATAAAAATGTTCTTTCTTATTTGAGACATATTACTTTGCAAATATTGAGGCATTTCATCTAACTGTTTTTTGATGATTAATGCTATTATTAGTAACTAAATCCCCACATTTGATTTTATAATTCTTCAATAATTTAATTTTACTGTGAAAAATAGAGCGATTTATACTAGGTACCAAAATTCAGTTTATACACTTTAGACATCTTTCATTAGCATAATGCAACATTATTATTATATATACATTTAAAATTTGAATAAAATAAGGACACATTTTTATTTAGAATAAAAAAAGGTTTTATGTTGTTCACAAAATAATTAAAATAAAATAAGTAACTGAAATAAATAAAATAAATAAATAATATAAAAATAAATTATATGTTTTATTTTTGAATGTATTAGTTTTTAAAATAAATTAAAATTAAGTAACAGTTTTGTTTGTAAAGAAATTTTTTTCATCTACTAATCTTTAATGTAAATTTAAATAAAATGTCACAACTATGTTATTGGATTGGAATGTGGAACGAATAAGATTGATGCTCTGCTATACACAAAGTACTAGATTCTAAATTGGAAATTGTTTTTTTTTTTAAATTTATTGATTTAGACTCCTGAGCAAAGGATTTAAAAAAGGGAAAATAACTTTATTTTCCAGCCATTGTAAATTTCAGTAAAAGCTGGTATCGATTTCACGACCAGTAGAGAAGTTGCACGCAGAAGCAAACAGCACCTTGAACTTGTATTAAAAGAATTTTTCCTTTTTGTTGCAGTTGAGCCGGCTGCTCTTGTGCTGGGAAAGAAGAAAATGCAGAGCGATGAATTACGAGGACCGCCTTTCAGCAGTCGGGGCCGAATTGTAACAGAAGAGCCCCTGCCTGCCCTGTTCGGATGTTTGCGCAGCAACTGACGCCTTTTGTGTGCTCTCGCGATAATTATTTTCATGAGTCAGTCGGTTGAATTGGCTGCTGCCATTCAGCCTTTATGATGTAAAATTCGGCATGGTCGGTGTTGTAGCTCTTTAATTGAGACACTACATTTTCCACGCCATGAATTTCCTCCTCGGGACAGCTGAAATGTCGTCGGTTGTCACTTTCCCTTTTCCCCTTGATATGCCGACGAGCATGAATTCGCTCTCAAAAGAGCATAAAAAAAATTGATTTGTGTACTCACCAAGTCGTTCCAGACAATCCTTTGAGTGACGAGTTTCTCTCGGCATACCTCTGTAAATTACACCGAGAGACAAAAAATTAGAAAATTATTCACTTTTATAGCTTTAGCTGCTGCTGCTGCTAATAAATTCCTATGAATATACATGTGTGTAGCTATAAAGACTGCTTTATTGGAGATTAAGGCTGCACAAAAGACAATTTCAGAGCTCCATAATGGTACAAATTAACGATTAAGTTAATTTTTTATGCCGTCCTAAAGGTGTCATTTTTATTATTCATGAGGGTAAAATACGAGCGTAAAAAATTTGAAATTAATAGGCTTAGGAAGTTCTCTATCTAAATTATCAGAGAAACTTCTTGCACGGTTTGGATTATTAAATTTAGGAACATCAAATTTATGACTTAATCATTTAAATAATATGCACTTTAGAAACCAAGGAAAATTGAGAATGTTAAGGATCATTTTTATAAAATGATGAGGGCTCAATATAATAGACTGGACAGAGAGAAATACACTAATAAAGACTGGTCTTGTACATTAAGTTTTTCTGTTTTTTTCCCTTACTTTTATAATCGATCTATGTTACATTAAATATCATCAATATAATTATCTAAGAAGATTTCTAGTATTTTAAACAAATAAATAATTCCATTGTTCAGTTTTCATTCATTTTGATTATTCTGTATAATAAAATATTGTAACAAATATATTTATCACAAACTTAAAATTTTCAATTAACTCTAAAATTCAGAGGGTGTAATAAAAAGTTAAGTTGCTTAGTAAATTAAAATGTAAATATTAAAATTAAAAAACCAATCATTCTTTCTTCAAAAGAAGTGTTATAATGGAATTTAATATAATGCTGCGCGCTAGGGTCGACAGCATGGCGGACCAACGCGACCGTGACCGAGCCGAATGGCACCGAACGATTGCAGAGCTGCGGACAGATTTCCAACAAAAGATCAATCGCCTCTACACTGACTGGTACACTTGGTGGCAAGGTCAACAGTCGGGACACCAAAACCAGCTCTGGCCAACTCCCCAGCCCTCACCGGACACACCGTTCAATAACAAATACATGCTGCGCGGTGCCCAGCTCGAAGAACTCCTCCGAAACAACGGATCACTCGCAATACCTGGCGCGCTCGTCACCTTCGTCGAGCACGTCGAGGACCTGTGTGGGGCAGCCCAAGAGGTCAAAATCCACGCCGTTGCGAGCGACTGGTGGCTGAGCAAGGGCGTCGCTGCCGAGGTGGTCGCCAAGGCAGGCCGTTTCCGAGGCTACAAACCCTACTCCGGCAAGGTGGGCGACGTCATCAAGCAGCCCACCACCACCATGGGTGACGTTTGGCACCTGATCACCAAAGTAAATTCACCTGACAAGCACTACAAAAACCCGGAGCAGTTCATCAAGGACGTGGAAAAGGCCTTCCGTATGCTGGCCGAGGAGGTAAAAAAGTCAGGTCTAAAGGAAATCGCAATGAGCTACATGTGCTCAGGTTTGGACCGCCTAAACCGCCTCTGGATCATGGAGCAGCTCTACCTCGCCTTCAAGGACGTGCCGGTGACCATCCACTTTTACAACAAACACGAGTCCCAAAGGTGGAAGGGCGCCGGCAAACTGTTCGAGCCCCAACCGGACACCACCCCAGCCCCTCCTACCGCCCCGAGTACCAGAACCACAACTGAGAAACTCCCAGCTACCACCCCTGCGGCCTCGCCCAACGTCCTTCCTGTGTCCTCAGTCCCACCGAACAAGGTTCGTTCTTCCCGGTCACCAACATTGAGCCCAGTCTCCGGCTCTTCAAACCCCTCCACGGAGGAGGATGAGGAGGACGAAAGTGAACCCCGTCTGCTCGACATCGAGCAGGAGGTCGATGGGAAATCCTCCCCGCCACCGAAAGTGACAAAAGACACCCCTAAAGCGACTAAAGGACAATCGAAGAAAAAGACTGCGGGTAAGAAGAAAAACCGCGCCTGAGTAGTTAACCCCGGTCAAATCGATATTACAAATGAGAAAATTTCCGAACTTTCTTTACTACTCTGGAACGCAGAGGGACTAAAAAACGCCTATGATATCTTAAGTAATGATTATTTTAAAAATTATGATATTCTTGTTTTTACCGAAACTTTTTTGCTTAAAAATTTCTCGATCCCGGGGTACTCAGATAAACACATTCTTGGCTTTAAAGAACAAAAGCTTGGGAGACCAATGCGTGGAGTGTCAGTTTATTACAACGCTAAACTCGGACATTTAAAAACTTTTAAATTATTAAAAAACACTATTATTTTGAACTTCCACAATATTTCAATCGTAGCTTCCTACTTGCAGCCTCAAATGCAAGGAGATAAAATCTGGACGGAATTAACTGAGACATTACAGTTCATTGAAAATCATGAAAAAGTTATCTTTGCTGGGGATTACAACTGCCGACTCGACCGGAAATATGAAAAACGTGACATAATTCAGGATTTTGTGATTTTTAATGACCTTCGAATAATAAACACCACTCCCTTTCAGCCCACTTACAAAACAGACGACGGTAAAAAGAAAAGTGTCATAGACTTAATTCTTGCGGGGAAAGAAATTCAGACTGTTAAATTCACTGTCGACGAGCCTTTAAATATCAGCCGAAAACACCGCGTTTTGAAATTTCATTTTAAAATATCTAATTTAAACAGCCTTAAAACAATAAATAACACTAAAAAGAAAATTGACTACGAAAAGATAAACGAAATGATTGAAAACAACTTTCGGGAAGAACTTAAAATTTGTATTTTAAATCAGAACATAGAAAAGTTTTATGAAAATATTTTACACTTAGTCAACGAATGCACAACAGAATCACCGCCGCACGCCCGTATAAGTCAACCCTGGTTTGACACAGAATGCTACCTCTTTAAACAAGACTTGCTATTTCTAAAACATTTTAGCGACGAATTAGAATCTCTTCCAAATAAATCGCAGTTTTATGCAGAAATTTTAGGTATATTTCACGATGCTAAGAAATATTACAGGAAACTTTGCGCGTCAAAAAAGAAAGCCGCACAAGAAAAAAGGGATGAAAAGTTAATTCGAGAGGCAGAGTCGCGATGCTATAAATTTTTAAGTGTGGACAAAAAATTAAACTACGTAGCAAATGACATATCTTTACTCGACTGGCAACAAAATTTCGAACACATTCTCAATGTAAAGGGCTTAGATAAAACAGATTCATTAGATCTTAAGTCAATGTTAAGGGACTACCCACAACCTGAAAACTTTAAATATTTCCTCGAAGATGAAATTAAACTAGCCTTAAAAGAATTAAAAATAAACAAAGCACCAGGTCCGGACTCACTGTTTAACGGGACTCTGAGGAACATTTGCGAACCGCTCCTCCCAGAAATTACAGCTTTCTTTAATTTATGCCTTGAAAAAGGAAAATTGGTAACTTCATGGAAAACAGCAAATTTAAAACTATTATTCAAAGGCAAAGGGGATACTTCTGAAATGAATAATTACAGGGGTATTAGTTTAAGCTGCTCAACTTTTAACCTTTTAGATAGAGTGCTCAAAAACCGACTTTATTCGTACTTGGCAGATGAAATCCCAGAAAATCAATTCGGGTTTGTCAAAGGAAGATCCACGATCCAAGCAATTAAACATTTAGTCGACGAAATACAGGACTCAGTTTATAATTCTAAAACGCCACTTTACGCCCTTTTTCTCGATATCAAAAAAGCTTTTGACTCTATTGACAGAAAATTTATTTTTAAAAAATTAATTGACACCAAGAAACTTAATTTTGAGGAGCTCAACTTAATGGCAGAATTCCTAGACATCAATTTTCTTCAAGTATGGGATGGGGTGGCACTATCAGAAATAATAGTTCAATCTAACGGGGTAAAACAAGGGTGTAGCCTATCGCCCCTCCTCTTTATTTTCTCAATTTTTAACATCAACGAAATTTTAAAAGACTTTCCATCAATAAAACTTCTAATCTATGCTGATGATATTTTGCTACTCTCTACAAATCTAAAAGATATTCAAAACTTCCTAAACAAGCTTGTTTTATATTTAGCCGAAAGATGCTTAAAGCTAAATGCCGACAAAAGCAAAATATTAAAATTCCGCAACAAGGGAAAGGGCCGGCTTAAGCTTTCAGACGAATTATTAATAGAAAATGAGAAAATCGAATTTGTTTCTGATTTTATTTACCTAGGTGTTAAATTCCAATCTTCCGGTGTTTCTTTCTCAAAACATATTTCAAAAAAGGTTAAAGCCGCAATCTTCGCACTATCCAAACTCGACTCGCTCCCAAAGGCCTCCATGGAAACCGCCCTGAAAATCTTTGATCTCGCTATCGCCCCCGTTGCAAGCTACGGAGTAGAAGCACTTTGGCCGTACTTATCATTAAATGATCTTCAGCACCTCGAAACAGTTAAATCACGCTTCCTTAAAAAAGCTCTCTCCCTCTCCAAACATATAAAATCTCGATACACATATGCATTAGCCGACACAAGTTCTTTCATCGAGGATCTGCGAGAGAAATATTGTCTCCCCGAAACCGAAAGTTATGACAAATTTTTCACTAATCAATCCTTTAAAATAGCCGAAATAAACTTAAAATTCTTTGACACTCCAGCAATGATCGACCAAAACTGGAAAACAGCTTGCTTTGAAAATCGACACGTTTTCACCCGATATGCATGTCACGGTTTTCACTATGTGTTGTGCCGGACTAAAAATTACCACGCGAGTGCTCAAGAAAATTGCGTGTGCAAAAAGTGTAACCAGCAGATGGACACTTATCACTTCCTCAAATGCGCAAAAAATGATATGTCTCTAATTGAAGCTTCAAAAGTTAAATGGAAAAAATGACGTTTTTGCCTTCTTAATGTTTATTATATTATGCTGTATTTATTTTATGTAACCTGTCGCACGCCATTGGCGTTCAATAAACACATACATACAATATTGAAGATGTGTGACTTTCAGAGCAAGCTGCATTTTTAACCTGGCACAACACAAAAGAGCGAAAAGGCAATGTGTTTGCTGATCCTTGATCAAACAAAATGCATTATTCGGTGTCTAGCTGTCTCGCTCTCTTTCAGTTGAACCGAAATTTGAGAATAAAGAAGTTGTCACGGCGGACAAGAGTGTGCTCCCTCGAGTGTGCCGTAATGTGACATTTTATCACCCATAAATCGCGGGAACCTCTACTTTTCTCTCTCGCTCTAGTGTAATTGCAAACAAAAGGTCGTCTCCAAACAAAATTCGGATCAAAAAGAGCTCGCGATCTTTTTCACATTAGCTTGGCTTCCTTTCTTGGTCCTTCTCTCTCTTTTAATTTTTCTCTCATGATGGCCTCCGCGGCTTCCATTGGTCGTTAAGGCAGCCGAGTAACCATAGCAACCGAGAAGGAGGATCTCGGGAATAAAGAAATGCTGCCGCTGATGTATTTCTTTACCTGCGACCTGGCCTATAAATCACTTGTCACCGCGTTCCTATATCATCGTGAG